AAAAAGTTAAAAGAGACATGATTTTTCCATACCGTGTGTGAATATAAAAAATAAAAAGCTAATGTAGGATCTATCTGACCCCAAGAGCTTGGTTTCTCTGAAATAGCTGCACAGTTGAGTTCTAGATAAACCCACTGCAAAGCCGCACGAGGTAAGTACCAGCAGAAACCTACAAACACAGAAGAGGAAGGGAGACCAGTACCATTTATGTAGCAACCACTGTGCTCCGGTGATTTTGCCTGCGTCTTTCCCTCCTCACAGGGACTTTATGAGACATCATCATCCTATTTCACAGATAGGAAAAATAAGGCCCAGAGTAATTGCATAACTTGCCCAAAGTCACCTAGTTAGCATTTGGCAGAGCAGAGGTTACAAGCCCAGCCTATCAGACCCGAAAGCAGTGGTTCTCAACCTTCCTAATGCCACAAGCCTTTAATACAGTTCCTGTGGGCCGCGACCCACAGATTGAGAACCACTGCCCTAAAGCTTGGATGCTTTCTCCTATAGAGCCCTGCTGCTGGGCCCCTACAGAGGACACATTCAGTTAGGTAAGAGGTAATATTTGAAATGGGCCCTGAAGATTGGGTAGGATTTAAGTGGATAGAGATTCCAGGTGAAGAATGTTTTCAGGCAGAAGAAACAGCAAGAACAATAGCCCAGAGGGCATGTATGGGGGAGAGCAGGCAGGCATTTGGGCTGGAAGTGGGGGTGAGCCTCCGGAGCTGTGAGAGGGGAGCCTGGACTGGTGGTCTGCGCTCTGGCAAATGGACTTCTATACCCTTCACAATTCTGGTGGTGGAGAAGCCACTGATCCTTGGTAGGGCTGACCATTAGGAAATCGAAATTGTTAGGTCTTTGCATCTCTCCTCATAGTGTGTGTGTATGGTAGGAACACAGTAAATGTGGGCTGAATTAATTAGTAAGAGAATGAATGATGATATTTGAGATATAGTATCATATCCTCATTATGGATTGAAGTCGTCACTTTGGACTTGCATTGAATTTAGCATGAAGACTTTTCATCTTGAATGAGTTTTTTTAAAAATGGAAGAGGAAGAGGCAGAGAGGACGGGGAGAGGGGAAGAGGGAAGGAGGGAGAGAAAGAAGAAGGGAGGAAGGCAGAGTGAGTATGAGGAACTCAGATCAGAGCCCTTTGTAATTGTCCCAGTAAGAAGCAGTAGGACCCTGTGCCCAGGCAGAGGCAGTTGAGCTGCAGGGAAGGGTAAAATGCAGGAGAGGTTTGGGGGTTTCACTGCCAGGACTTGGCAGCTAATTGGCTACAGACCCATCCAGAGACTACTTATAGCCCCAGCCCAGTGCACAGCTCCAGTTTTTGAACCAGAAGATTCTGATACCATTCATTGAATTGGAGGGCTCTTAGGAGGTGCTGCTTTAGGGGAGGAGAGGATGAGTTCAGTTTGGGGGGAGTTGAAGGTGTTTGTGTGAGGTCAGAACAGTGATGTCCATCCAGTTCGCAGTAAGAAAAGGGGCGGGCTCTGATTTCAGAGAAGTGGGTGGAACTTTAACATGGAGACAGCGCTTAGAAATGATAGAAGAGATCTCAAACGGAGCAGAGGAGGGAAGGTGAAGAGGAATTCTCTCTCCTCCCAGGTCTTGCAGCAGAGTAAAAGCAAAATAGTCTTTGAGGTCTTACTCTGGGCAGGGTATTCTGCCCTAGTTTCACATCCATTCTCTCATTCAGTTAATCTCCACCACTTTGGGGAGAATGTTATTGTTATCCCCACTTTACACATGAGAATCTCAGGCTTAAAGAGTGAAGGAGCCAGCCCAAGGCCACACAGACACTGTGAGGTGGAGCCAGCCTGGGTTCCAGGTCTGCGTGACTCAGAAGCTGTGTCTTAACCGCAGTGCTCTCTTGCTGCCCCAGTGGCACCTGCTGTCATCCATTCCATTTGCTCACTGGCCTTTCTGTTTCCTGCATTCCTTACTCAAAATATGTTAAGGGAGCACCTGCTTAAGAAGAAAATGTGGTCCTACAAGGGGTGGATATCAAGGTCTTCCTCTAAAGAAGCTTTGATTGAATGTGGGAGATGAGACATACGATTCAATACAGGGCAGGAAGTGCTGTGTATCCCAACAGAGGTCCTGGCAAAGGCCTACAAAGATGCCGTCAGCTTGTGGGGAGGAATGGAGAAGGAATGAACTAAAGCATATTTCTTCAGCCCTGGTTCTGTTTCAGGCTCTTTACTAGGACGATCATACTTTATCTGGGCTGCTCTCAACATTAATCTCAGCCACTTCGCCTGTTAAGAAACTGATCACCTGATGTCCTTCCCTGTGCTGCTATGTGGGGACTGTCTTCCTCCTGCATGGCACTGACTACACATCGTCTAATTGCTTAATTGGGTCCCCTACTAGACTGTGAGCCTCCTATGGACAGTGACAGAATCTGCCACGATCACCGTTGTATCTGTGTTGTATCCAACAGACCAGACTGCCAGACCTTGGCACATAGTAATACTTGTTGGAAGGAACGGAGGGAGACAAACAGGTTTGGGAAAGTCACCAAGGTGATAAATGGTGAAGTAAGATTCATACTCTTATCTCCTATCTCTAAATGTCACATTTTTCCTAATATTCCACTTGTGGTGTAATAGGCAGGGGTGAGCTGGCTGTGGGAGACAGGGAAGACACAGAACCAGGTGCCAGGGTCCTGGCCTCTAGTCTCTGCCTTACAGTTCTTACTGTGTGACTTTGAGTTCATCCCTACCCTCTCTGGGCTCGCCAAGAGGGTATTTCTGGGGGCAGCATCACCTCCAGGACAGCCTCTAGATGAGGGGAGGATGAACAGAACTCTACCCACCCTAGCCTTAACACAGCCCCTCTCATCTTTGAGCTTTTGAGGGAAACAAAACAAAAATTTTGTTGCTGAACAGAATATTGCTAGGAGAATCATGTCTGCGGATGCCTAGGGTAAGTTTCCTGCTCGTTCTCCCTCACCCACCAGCTCTGATCCTCCCGCTGTCATGTGGGGCTCAGTGATGTCCCTGTGTCTTTGCAGGATGGAGGGCAAAGCTGAATACATCCTCCCTACTGACACACGATACGTTGGGGAAATGAAGGACGGCATGTTCCATGGAGAAGGAACCCTGTACTTCCCAAGCGGGAGCCGATACGATGCCATCTGGGAAAAGGGATTGGTCGTAAAGGTGACTGGCCAGGGACTGCAGAGGACAGGTCCTCGGGCAGGAAAAGCCCCCACTGCAGGAAAAACCCTGCCCTCCCTGTCTGGTGCCTGCCCCCTTCCATGCCCTCTTCTCCCCACTTCTTCAGCTCCCAGGGGTCTACAGTTTTCTCCCTCTGAATCTAGAAGGGCCCCTGGAGAAGCCAGAGATGAGTTTGAGTCTGTTTTGCCACTTACTGCCTGATCTTGGGCCTGGGATTTTACCTCTCTGAGACTTAAGTTCCTCATCTATAAACCGGGGACAGTAGTTATTATTAGTTACCCATCACTGTTGTAACAAATCACCACAAGTTTAGTGTCTTAAATCACTACAAATTTATTATCTTACAGTTCTGGAGGTCAGCAGTCTAAAATAGGTCAGCAGGGCTGCATTCCTTCCTAAATCTGTTTCCTTGCTTTTCCAGTTTCTGGAAGCTGCCCTCAATCTTTGGGCCACAGCCACACATCAGTCTGACCCTGCTTCCCTTATCACGTTGTCTTCCCTCCCTGTGCTTCTACCATCATCTTGTCTTCTGTCACCTTGACCTTCCTACCTCTGTCTCATGAGGACCCTGTGGTTATAGTGGGTACACCCAGATAATTCAGGATAACTCCCCACTTCAAAATCCTAAATTGAATTGCATCTGCAAAGTCCTGCTTGCCACGTAAGGTAGCATATTCTAGTAGACAGAGACATCTTTGGGGGACCATTATTCAGCCTGTCAAAATAGCACAAGGCACCTCCTAGGGTAGGTGTGAGAGTCAATATGGGGCATTATATATGAGCACTTTGCTAAGTTCCTGGCACATAGTGGGCACTATTACTGCCATCACTGCCGCTACTGGCATTATAAATCATCCAATCCAAGCATTTTTAATCTGGGATCTGTGACATGAATAGGCGGCCAGTGAAACCTCTTGATTTACATACAAAAGTTTCTGTGCATATGGGACAATGTTTTTCTCTGGGAAAATGATTTATAGCTTTCATCAGCTTCACTATGGGTGTACTGGGGCCTGAATCATGACCTTTAAAAAGTTAAGAAACACTCCTTGTTTTATGATTTGGAGAATCTAAGCCCCAGGAAAGGGATGTGACTTACCCAAGGTCACACAGTGAATTAATAGTATTGTTGGAATTTCCACCCAAGTTTCCTGATGCCCAGGCCAATGCAATTTCTGCATCCTGAGGTTTGCTTTAGCACTAAGGCAACAAAATAGGAATGTATGTGTTTGGACAAAGAGCTGCAGCTGATGGCTCTAACTTTTCTAGCTGTGATCATAATAAAAGAATAATAACATTTATCAAGTACTTTCTATAGGTCAGTGTATTAGAGTTCTTCAGAGAAATAGAACGGGTAGGATATATATAGACATATAGAAAGAATTTATTTTGAGAGCTTGGCTCACAAAATTATGGAGGCTGAGAAGACCCACAAGCTGCTCTGTGCAAGCTGGAAGCCCAGGAAGATCATCTGTAGTTCAAGTCCAAATCTGAAGGCCTGAGAGCTAGGGAAGTCAAGGGTGTAAAGTCCCAGAATCCAAAGGCCCCAAACCTGGTGTGCTGATGTCCAAGGGCAGCAGAAGGGCAGGAGCCCAATTAGAATGGCTGGCTCTTCCTCCAGCTTTTTTTTTAATCCATCCATCTTCCCACTGAAGCTCCACCTTTCCTGTTCTAACGAGGCCCTCATGATGCCCACTTGCATTGGGGAGGGTAGATCTTCTTTCCTCAGTTTACTAATTCAAACACTAATCTCTTCCAGAAACACCCTCACAAACACACCCAGAAATAATATTTTGCCAGCTCTTGGAGCATCCTTAACCCAGTTAAGCTGACACACAAAATTAAGCATCACAGTCAGGCACATGCCACATGCTTTACATGCACTATGTTACCTAGTTTTCAATCAATCCCATTAAATATATGCCATCATATATTTAACTAAACAGATGA